CTGGGCGTTCCTCAGCCTCAAGAGCATCAGCTGCAAGCCACGAGCTATGCTGCTGCAGCCCGCCGCCACGACCCTTCTCCACGCACAGGCTAAAACGCTGCCCCATCGCACTTCTGTCGCTGGACGGCACCACTGCCACCACCCCCACCGACGTCCTACCGTTCGCCAGCGGCCCAGCGCAGTCCGCCCAGGAAGACTGTCATCTGGCGCACCCTTGACCACCGTCCGCTCTGCTACCACTGCGGCGAGGCCGGACATACATACCGCCGTTGCCAGTACCGACAGATGGGACTGCGTGGCTTCGCCTTCAATGCACCACGCCCGCCGCCGGGAGAACGGCCACGTGACATCGCCGACTACCTGACAGGAACTCAATGGACACCACAAAGTCCTTCCCGTTCGCCGTCGCCCAGCCGCCGCATGTCACCGCACCCCCGGCAGTACTCTGGCCCAACGCGGGGCCGGTCTCCTAGCCCGTATCCAGGAAATTAAGGGCAGCAACCGATGGAGGTGCGGTTGCTCTGCAACGAACTACAGAAGATCCTCTTCCTCCGACGACGCCGCGACAGAGCTTTCCGAACACAACGCCAACCAGGCAAAGCCCTGACGGCGAAAGCTCACTTACCGAAGGTGGCCTGACGACGCAACATGGAAGCAGTGGAACAAGCCGACACAGCCGTGACCCGACGCCACGACCTAACTGTAATGCGAGATGGCGAACTAGCGACCTCGGCGTTCTTATCGACGGCCACAGTGTGACCGCTCTCGTCGATACTGGAGCCAACTATTCCGTCATCAGTGGGTCGTTCGCCGTGAAGTTAAAGAAAGTTAGGACAGCTTGGGAAGGCCCTGAAATTCGCACAGCCAAAGGTCATCTCGTAACGCCTGCAGGAATCTGCACAGCGAGAGTCACCATTAACGGCCGTATTTATCCTACAGACCTCATAGTCCTACAGCGTTGCTCGAGAGATGTCATCCTTGGCATGGACTTCTAATGCCTACATGGTGCTGTCATCAACCTAAAAACCAGGTTGTTAGCGTTATCCACAGAAGAAGCACTACCGCCGCGCACGCCGTCAGGAAACCATGCCTTGAATGTGCTGAAAGAACAAGTCACGATTCCGCCTCGCTCAAGCGAGGCGAAATGGTGACTTGTTTCAGTCGGCGCTCCTAAATCACCTGACTTAGAAGGCGTCGTTGAAGGCAGTCAGCATCTGTTGGTCACCCGAAATATTTGCGTCGCAAGAGGAATTGCAGAGCTGCGGGGAGGCAAATCAACGGTTATGCTCACGAATTTCAGCAATGAGTACAAACATGTGAACAAAGGAACAACGGTCGCATACATCGAAGAAATTGTTGAAGCCACCAGGGCTTTCGCCCTTGCAGATTATGCGGAACCTGCTCAGAGGAACCAAGCCCCTCCCATAGCATTCGATGTCAATTCCAGACTTCCAAACCATAAGCAAGAACAGCTCAAGGCCCTGCTCCTGCAGTACGAAGATTTCCTTTCGTCGTCATAAAAAATTCGGTAAACCCCAATCACAAAACATCGCATCATAACCGAAGAAAATGCCAGACCACTCCGTCAGAGTCCGTACAGGGTTTCGACGCGAGAACATGAGGCCATGAAGAGACAGGTTGATGAAATGCTGCGGGATGACATTATCCAGCCGTCCAAGAGTCCATGGGCATCCCCCGTGGTGTTAGTGAAGAAAAAGGATGGAACCCTACGTTTCTGCGTCGATTATCGCCGCCTGAACAAAATCACATGAAAGGACGTGTATCCTCTTCCACGAACAGACGATGCACTTGATCGGCTCCATAACGCCAAGTACTTTTCGTCAATAGACCTCAAGACTGGCTATTGGCAAATCAAAGTCGACGAAAGAGACCGAGAGAAGACGGCGTTTATAACACCGGACGGCCTCTTCGAGATTAAGGTGATGCCCTTCGGTCTTCGCTACGCGCCTGCAACTTTTCAACGCGTTATGGATACAGTACTGGCAGGATTGAAGTGGCAGACTTGCCTTGTGTACTTGGACGATGTCGTCGTGTTTTCCTCGAGTTTCAAAGAGCATCTTCGGCGCCTTGAAGCTGTACTTCAAGCCATCCAGACGTCTGCACTCACACTGAGGCCAGAAAAGTGCAGATTTGCGTACGAGGAGCTTTTCTTTCTGGGGCACGTTATTAGCAAGTCTGGAATTCGTCCCAATCCACGGAAAACAGCCGACTTTGCCGACTTCTCGCCGCCCACTGACAAGAAGGGGGTGCGCCGATTTCTGGGCCTGTGCGCCTATTATAGGCGGTTCGTGAAAAACTTCGCACGCATCGCCGATCCACTCGCTAAGCTCACCAAGGCCGACATGGAGTTCAAGTGGGAAACGTCGCAGGAACACACTTTCCAGGAGCTTAAACATCGCCTCCAGACGCCTCCGTTACTAGCCCGTTTCGACGAATTCGCCGAGACAGAAATACACACTGACGCAAGCAGCGTAGGTCTTGGCGCCGTTCTTGTGCAGAGGGCTGACGGACTTGAAAGGGTTATTAGTTACGCCAGCCGATCGCTATCCAAAGCAGAAGCCAATTATTCCCCAACAGAAAAGGAGTGCCTCGCCATTATCTGGGCTACGTCTAAATTTCGCCTCTACCTTTACAGCAGGCCCTTCAAAGTTGTGAGCGACCACCACGCCTTGTGTTGGCTAGCCACCTTGAAGGACCCTTCAGGTTGCCTCGCACGATGGAGCCTGAGACTTCAAGAATATGACATTACTGTCATTTGCAAGTCCGGCAAGAAACACTCCGACGCCGACTGTCTCTCTCGTGCGCCTGTCGACCAACCACCACCCGACGACCCGGACGACTACTTCTTGGGAACGATTACTACCGACGACTTCGCTGAACGACAGCGGGCCGACCCGGAACTTAAGGCCCTAATAGAATACCTAGAAGGCACGACCGCCGAAGTCCTGAAGGTATTCAAGCGCGCACTTGCGTCGTTCTTCCTGCGAAACGGTCTTCTCTAAAAGAAAAAAATTTCACCGCTTCGAGCCAATTACCTCCTTGTGGAGCCTTCAGCTTTGCGACCAGAACTCCTGCAGGCCCTGCACGACGATCCGACAGCAGGGCACCTTGGTGTTTCTTGTACGCTCGCGAGGATACAAGAAACGTACTATTGGCCACGTCTTACCACCGACGTCACTCGTTATGTGAGGACATGCCGGGACTGTCAACGACACAAGACACCACCGACAAGGCCGGCGGGACTTCTGCAGCCAATTGAACCACCTCGCCGACCTTTCCAGCAGATTGATATGGACCTACTGGGGCCGTTCCCAACGTCGGCTTTCGGAAACAAATGGATCGTGGTAGCTACCGACTACCTCACCCGCTACGCCAAGACAAAAGCCCTGCCAAAAGGCAGTGCATCCGAGTTAGCTAAGTTCTTCGTCGAAAATATCGTCCTACGTCACGGCGCCCCGGAGGTCTTTACCACCGACAGAGGAACGGCATTTACTGCCGACTTAACTCAAGCGATCTTGGCATACAGCCAGACAAACCACCGCCGGACGACAGCGTACCACCCACAGACCAATGGCCTCACCGAGCGGCTTAACAAGACTATCGCCGACATGCTGTCAATGTACGTCGATGTCGACAAGATGTGGGATGCCATTCTTCCGTACGTGACCTTCGCATGCAACACGGCAGTGCAGGAGACGACGCAGATATCTCCATACAAATTGGTCTACAGAAGGAGCCCGGCAACGACGCTCGATGCCATGTTACCCAACGTCACCGACGAAGAGAGCCTCGATGTGAGTGAGTACCTTCAATGCGCCGAAGAAGCCCAAGAACTCGTGCGTCTCCGCATCAAGAATAAACAGACGACCGACAGCTCCCGTTACAATCTTCGACGACGCCTCGTGGAATATTAGCCCGGTGAACGTGTTTGGGTGTGGACGCCGACGTGGACTAAGTGAAAAGCTTCTGCGACGGTACTTCGGACCGTACAGGGGGGTTCGACGTCTCGGCCCACTTGATTACGAGGTTGTCCCCGATGGCATCTCAAACTCTCAACAACGCCGATCGAGACCTGAAGTCGTCCATGTCGCACGCCTCAAGCCGTTTCATGTGCGTTAACAAACTAAAACAGTGTTTTTGTATTATTATTGTATCGTAATTTATTCATTGTACTTTTTTGCATAATTGTTGTATTTTCATCTTTAGTTAAAGCATCGGGACGATGCCTTTTTCAGAGGGGGGCAATGCCACGTTCCATTTCCCAAGTTTTGTTATCGTCCTAAAACACTACACAATTCTCAGCTCAAACCGCGCCTGCAGTTTTTAAGAAGCTTCCGGACTGTAGTAGATCATTTCGATAAGATCACGCCCACTCTGCGAACGGTACAGATTATTCTGAAACCTACGCCACCGCCAGCGATAACGCTAGAACATTCGACGGCAAGAGTATAAACGCCGACGCGGTTCGCCGCTAGATGGTAGTTGATCGACGGCCGACGCTCCGTTCGCCGCTATAAGTCCAAGACTGCTACTGTAATCGGACTTTCCGTTTACCGGGCACAGGTTCGCCCAAATAAACAGTTAAATTCCAACACAAAGTCTCCTGTCTTCGGCCACATCACGACTCCGTGACACTATTGTGGTAAGAACAATACTAATTGTTATCTTGCTTAAATAATTAACTAATGAAGCTACAGAAAAAGTAACTACATTTTTAGAATCAGGAGAACAAACTAAGTAAGCATGCCAACTTTTGTCACATTTGGTTCAAAAATAATTGAGAGAGCCCTGAGACCCATGTTTCCCTTAAGTTCCGACTCCAGCAACACCCCCTAAAGAATTTTTTATTATTCCATGCTTTGGTGATCTGACCAATGTTGCACCCTAACTAGGTTTTTCTGTCCTTTGAGCAGTCACTCATGACATTTCGTCACTTTCTTTCAGGGATCATGCATAAAACGTTTTTTTGCCACAGTCACCTGATGCGGATCTTGGTGGTGTATGTGACCAGGTCATCGAGGTTGGCTGCCCAGCGTGTCTTAAGCTGGGCGAAAAACCCTTCCTGCAGGTAGGCTGCACCACGGAAGCGTGCCATGTCGTCAACGTAGAAGCGCCGCTCATTGCGATGACGCCGATAGGCGTAAGGTGCGTATAAATGCCGGCCAGGAAACTGCTTACGGTCAAAGTACACACCACAGCCCAGAATGCGCTGGTTGCCGGCCACCAGGGACATGGCTTCCCCTGCAATACAATGGGTGCTTAACCAGAGTGCTTTTTGCAACCAAGCTAGTGTTGCCGTCATCACAAATCCACTCAAAAGAACATAGATTCACTTTGTCACAACCAAAGCATCACTCCAAAGGTGCTTGGTAAGAAAGAAAACACATGTGGTGATGCTACCTAAGGACTTCTTTTTGGACGAGTTGGTGCTTACGTTGCATAGACAGTTGCACAAAATATATTTTGTGAAAAAAGGGGAAAAGAAAAGTGAAGCACTGTTACCAACAGTTCAAGAAACAAACAGGATAAAAAAAAATAAGAACACTTTATGCAAATGCGTAAAGAGCAACACATGACATAGAGCAACATGATCAAGATAATGTGTTGTTGAGAAAAAGCAGTTCTGGTGAATGCAAAGTTTTAGATGTGTCACTGACACAATCAGACCATGTATAATCACTGTGAAATGCAATTCGTCACTTTTCTTCTCTAAAATAAACTGTTGGTTCCAAATGAAATGCTACATAGAAGTGCGGCAGCTTGATCGAATCTCGATAATTCGAACTAAAAGGGGCGTTTCGGCAAATGTTTTACACAGATTGCCGAGCCGATAACTCACCTCACGAAAAGCATCGTCGAATTCAGGTGTTCAGAAGCAGCACAATATAAAACATTTCAGGAACTTAAACAACGCCTCTAGACACCGCCAATACTTGTGCATTTCGACGAGCACTCCAAAAGAGAAGTACACACCGAGGCAAGCAGCGTAGGACTCGAAGACGTCCTTGTGCAAAAGACTGATGGCGTGGAAAGGATAAACACTCTGACGCCGACTACCTGTCTCGTGCCCCCGTTGAACCACCGCTGCCTGGAGGCCTGGACGAGGACAGCGTCTTAGGAATGATAACTGCCGACGACTTCGCCGAGCAACAGCGAGCTGACTCGGAACTCAGAAGCCTTGTGGAATACCTTGAGGGTAACAGCACGACTGTTCCGAATGTTTTCAAGAGAAGAGTGGAGTCGTTCTTCTAGTGAAACGGAGTTTTCTTAAAGAAAACCTTTCGCCTCTTTGAGCCGAACACCCTCTCGTGGTTCCTTCAGCTGCGTGACCAGAAGTACTCGAAGCCCTACACGTCGACCTGACGGCTGGACACCTCGATGTTTCTCGCACGCTCGCAAGAATACAAGAAAAGTACTACTGGCCACGACTTTTCACTAATGTCACTCGCTACGTCAGGACCTGCTGCGAATGTCAACAACGAACGACACCGCTGACTAAGCCAGCCGGACTTTTCCAGCCCATCGAGCCACCTCGCCGGCTATTCCAGCAAATAGGCATGGACTTACTGTGGTCGTTCCCGACGTTGAATTCCGGGAACTAGTTGATCGTCGTAGCTACTGACTACCTCACACGCTATGCCGAAACAAAGGCCCTCCCCAAGGGCAGTGCCTCCAAGGTAGCAAGGTACTTCGTCAAGAACATTGTTCTGCATCACAGAGCTCCACAGGTCCTCGTTACTGATAGAGCTACAGCCTTTACGGCGGACCTAATTCAGGCAATCCTGAGGTAGAACTAGACAAGTCACCGCCGCACCACCGCTTACTATCCACAGAGCAACAGCCTCACCAAAAGTCTTAATTAGACTATCCCTGATATGCTGGCTATGTACGTCGACGTCGAGCACAAGAAGTTGGGTGAAATCCTTCCTTACGTGACCTTCGCATACAATACGGGCGTCCAAGAAAGAACGGAGATGACGCCGTACAAGTTGGTCTATGGAAGGAGCCCGGCAACGACGCTCGACGCTACGAAAAGAACCTCGACGTCATCACTTACCTTCAGCGCGCGGAAGAAGCTCGTCAACTCGCCCGCCTGCGCATCAAGAATCGACAGGCGACCGACAGCCGCAGTTACAATCTTCGACAAAGCTTCGTTTAGTACCAGCCGGGGACCGTGTCTGGGTATGGACGCCGATACACTGATGTGAGCTCAGGGAAAAATTTCCATGAAGTTACTTTGAACCATACAAAGTAGTTCGACGTCTGGGCCCACTTGACTACAAGGTTCTTCCCGACGGCATTACGAACTATCAACGGCGCCGTGATCGACCTGAAGTCGTCCATGTCGTGTGCCTCAAGCCATTTCATGCGCGAACCTGAGGACTACATTTTGTAGTTGTTGCTGTACTTGTTTGTTGTCCTTATTATTGTACCTTCGTCTTTTGTTATGCATCAGGACGATGCCTTTTTCAGAGGGGGGCAATGCCACGTACCTTTCCTCAAGTTTTGTTTATCACCCCGTTACACTACGTTCAGTGCAAACCGCACCAGGATGTTCAACAAGCTTCAAGGCTTTAGTAGATTGTTTCGTTAAGATTACGCCCACTTCGGGAACGTCACAGATTATTCAGGAACCTACGTTGCCGCTAGCGATAATGCTAGAATATTCGATAGCAAGGGCATAAATGCCGACACGCTTCGCCGCTTGTCAGTTGATCGACGGCCGACGCTTCGTTCGCCGCTATCAGTGCAAGACTGCTACTGTAATCCGTTCCCAAGCACAAGTTCGTCTAAATGAACAGTTTGATCTCAACACACAGTCTCCTGTCATCGGCCATGTCACGACCCCGTGACACTATTATGTACGAAAATAAAGAAAATCTGATTTCTCCAACCGAAATGAGGGTGCTCATATCATGTGGGTAAATGCAATACTTGCAAAATTTGTACAGTAGCATCTTGGTGACGTTTACAACAAATGTGCCAATTAAATCAAAATTCACACGGAAATAAGAAAGTTGGCATTGAAAGACTCCTTAACTTAAAATGAATATATTTCATGACTACACATGTCACATGTGTAGATGCTCCTCTAAGGCTCGAAACTCACCGATGATCTGGTCCTGCGTGAGTGAGCGGTCGGGCACTCGAAACTCTGCAAACAGTTCTTTCGGATCCACAGTTTGCAGGAACCCAGACAGGAAGTTGGCCAGCCGGACGGCCGAGCGTGCCTCATTCTCCAGATGCCAGTCCCGACCGTGTGCCACATCACCGGACAGCCGCAGCAACTCAGGCCTCTCCCGCCCGATTTCGGCACAGTTGGATGCTGTCACCTGCACCCACAAAGACTTTCTTTGGGCAAGCTATTTCATCCAGGCAGTCAGATGTAAATGACCTCACAGTGCTTGGTCAGAGGCAGGACAAGACCCACCCTGTTGTGGTGGTTTTGTGGTGCCAGCCCTTAGCACCATTATGTTGCTTGCGGAGCAAATCAGGTTCATGACCAAATAGTAGGCTTGTGCAAAAGTAAATTTAGTCAAACATTTTCAAACTGATTTGAAATAGTCTAGACAAAATATTATAAAAAAAATGGGCAACTAAATTGCACAAAATTTTTTTTTCAGAAAGTGCACCAAGGCCTGTACAAATAACATTGTTTGTTTTAAAGAAAGTAGTGGCAACTTTGAATAGCAACAGGTCTAACTTTTGTAGAATGCAAATTATGACCTGGGAAATATGTTACATTTTAAAATTTAGTATACTTGGAGCATACAAGCTGTCTTTAAACTTAAAGAATTATGGTTCGATGGGGAGGTAATCTGTTCATTTAACTTTGAAGTTGAGCTTCATTGCAGAGTAGATTTTCCCTAGGTAGGCGTTTTCACGGTTTAGCACACCTATGCTGCAGTGAAACTACCTTTACAAAAAGTTACACGCTAACTGATACACATCTATTCATTCATTCTGAATATTTTGAAATTTACAATAACTTAAATTTAAATCGAAGCAAATTTGAATGTTGTTATATTCATCAGAATATTCACAAAAGCCTACAAAATGTGATTGCCCAGAAATTAAGCTGTTTTGTAGCAGCTTTGGCACAGTAAAAAGGGGGTTTCGGAGCTGGTTTGGAGCACCAATAGGTGTGTTTTGTAACTGTGCATGTTAATGTTAGGTTTGGAGCGGCTATCTAGGGTCAAATACCATCATTAATCGAACACCTAAATACATACAAGTATCTAGGAGCCCATTTATTTTCCGATTTAACATGGTCTCTTCAAATAACACACATTACTAAAGAAGCAAACCTTGGCTGTATAAGCGGAAACCTTCATCTAGCTGCTACTGCTGTTAAACTACTCGCTTATCAGACACCAATCAGACCAAACCTTGAATACGCATGCGCTCTTCGAAACCCTCATCAGAGTAACAATGCTAAAACACATGAAACTGTGCAAAACCAGGAAGCAAGGTTCATCTTTTCATATTATTTATACCAGTCAAGCGTAACCGAATTTGAATCTCGTGCTAACCTCGTTACCCTTTCATCAACCACTGTATAGCTCAACTGTGCCTGTTTTTGAAGTTACATCATGCATCATCTCGTACTCCCACTATCAAGCCAGCCCATTGTCATTCAGAGTGCATCAACCACGGGAAAGCTTTGTACCGACCAACTGCTCATACCACTGCGCACCTTTCATCCTTCTTTTTGTCAAGACCGTGCAAGATTGGAATGTCCTTCCTCCTGACGTTGTGCAGCATTGTGTCTGCTTCAAAAGAGACACGATGTTTGTTTTTTTTCTTGCCTTGCACATGAAGACTGTACAGATTTCACGCACTCGACAAAATACAAAAGTATCACAAAATACAATGAAGAACTGTCAGCTCGGAACTGACTATTGGTCAATACTGTGGCATTCGCACCAATGGTTCAATGCTCACAGTCCACTTTGGTACATCCTCTTGTCCCTTCACACGCTGATTTGCAGAAATACTGTCAAATCTTGTAATTGCCGAAAATTTCAGAGCCCATCCCAGCCCAGCCCAGCCCAGCCCAGCCCAGCCCAGACATCCATCTCCATCTATCTAGTCGCTTACGTCCGGTTGCCCTCGTGATTGGGCGAACCAAAATTAGTATAAGAGGACAAAATAATTTCATGAATATGACACAATAGTCAAGACATGAATGCCTTCATAGTCCCGTCGCATACACCGTCAAACACCTTTTACTAGACAGTGGCACAAACCTGCGGGTGGGTATGTGCCACTGGCATGCGGGTATGTGCCACAGGTGAGTGACACATGAAATCTACCCAGCAACGACGAGAACACATAGGAGTAGTTTTAACACGTGAGCGAACGAGGCGCCTGGTAGGGGGGCGCTCTCGATTCCCACAGGTCTCAGGAGGAATCGAACCCTAGCATTATACATGGCAATCAAGCATTCTACCACAAAGCCACACCAGGTCTCAGAACTATTTTTCAAAGAGACCCTAATGTTTGTGAAACTTTAATTGTTGCCGCGCCGGCTATCCAATTACATCATGATAACATATGCATTCCTATAATACAGTCGTGACGTTAAGTTAACGTCACTTGTAGTTAGGTGCTATGCGCTGAAGTCGATTTATGTAAGAGTGTTCAGGGCTACCATTCTTGCGAGCATCAGCGCTTTATATCAGCTTATCGCTTCTAGTGTTGCAATACTCAAGTTCCTCGTTGGCATCATCATGAAAGTGCAAAAAAACTTAATATACAAACATCTGCAAGGTGTGCCTGTGCCTGCAAGATTTGTACATATATTTACTATCATTTATTTCATGACGTGTCGCGATATAAAAATTGCAACATGGTCACCTTCCCAATGCATGCTTCGCATAACGCCGATTATTAAGGTACGCAGGATATTCCGGTTTATATTTTGAAAAACTGTTGCGGCAACCTAAATGGCGAACTTGTCGGCGGAGCCTTTAAGTCAATATAAAAAAAAACCCACAACTTTCCAGAACAAACAGGTGTATTCCTGCTGATTAGCAGAAGCATAAAACAAAACTGCATTCTGTAACTGTTTTGCTCCCAGGAAAGTTATGTGTTCTGATTTCTTTAGAAATGCCGGCATGCTCGTGCTTGCTAAGAAAAAAATGAAAATTAAAATTAAACAACCATATCACATGCAAATTTTTCTCAAAAGCGCTCCATATGTTTACCGATCGGCCCCATCCTGAGATATCGCGTCATTCTCGCAGGCACACCACTCTGCAACGACTCTTTTACAATAAAACCATATGGCACAGAAGGAAGAAGAAAGAAAAAAATATTGCAACGCGTAATTTTTCAGTACACTGTATTCTCGTTGACACATGTATCTACAGACGTAATAACTTCACTTGCAAGTCTTGCATAATTGTAATACATCAGCTTTTTTTTTTTTTTTCAAGTATTCATTGTACATTCGAAAATAACCAATTGAAGTGTATTTTGCTTTTTCCAATGGATGGCAGCTGATCTAGCAGAAAAGAAATAAATCTTTTATTGCATGTAAAAGTTTCAATACGTGCACAATTTACGCTACACGAGCTCGATAATCTATACAATGAAGAAAATTAGCAAATTACTATACCTTATGCAGCCAATGCATGTTCAGACCATATATCTTACTTTATAAGCACCCTTGAGTGACCCCAGGAGGCTACGTAACTCTCATTGATAATCTTAGCATCGCTGGCGTCGTCTGGCGGACATACACCTGCGGAGGATTCCCCTTCAAAGAAGGCTCAATGGTTAATAGCAGCGCCCCTCTCTCTATCAATGAATTTTATACGTGCACATTCTAGGCACTATAATACGGGACAGACTTCGCGCACCGGCTATTAGGGGACAAGGGAAGGGGGGTGCTACCGCCGTGTCCCCCTCGTGTGCATGCCTATGCTAACAAATGTACCTATACAGCCGAGCCCGACTATATCGAACCCGTTTATACCAAATTATCTCGTATATCGAACAATTCCTAAACAAGGTAAGTTTACATTGAGAATATATAGCAAAACTTACTGCTTTATCGAACGAAAATAGCAACGACAACTGATATATCAAACTCCATGTGCCTCAAAAGTGCCCCAGCAAGTTGGCTTTCCCACCCTAGAAAAAGTTGGTTAGACCAGGTTGTCTGCGGGCGAACACCCCCTTCCAAGAAATTATCCTGGCCCGCTCGCAGCGCTTACAGCCAATCAGAGGCCGTCGTGCTTTCTCCGAGGCGCGGAGGCGGTAGAAGTGAGCGCCATTTTTTCTTTATGCTTGTGTGCCTGCTGCTGCCGATTTAGCGTGGTCTGTGGTGTTGCCTGTTGGTGTTCTGTGAACTGTATTGGCGCGCTGTCATCATGGCTTGCGCAAAGAGACGAAATTTGCCGTTCGCCACGAAGCTCGAAATCATCAATCGGGTTAAGCGGGGTGAAAAGAAGTCCGACTTCGTCGCCGCGTACAAAATTCCAAGGAGCACCTTGAGTACTATCCTGAAGAACAAGGCAGACATCAGGGCCAAGTCGGACAAAAGGCCAGGTGCCCGTGGAGCCCGATGTAGGCGTGCTGCTGTGTACGAAGATGTTGAAGCGGCCGTTTACAAGTGGTTTGTGGACGTTCGGTCGCGAAACATCCCGGTGTCTGGCCCTATGATCAAGCAGAAAGCCAAGGACCTTGCTTTTCTGCTTGGCAGGAATGTTTTCCAAGGCGGTTCAGGCTGGCTTCAGTGGTTCAAAGAACGGCATGACATCATTAGAAAAGCTGTTACAGGTGAAAGCAAAGCGGCAGACCTGGACAGCGTAGAAAAATGGCTTGAGGAAAACTGGCGAGATATTCCAGCAAGATATAGAGCCCAAGATATTTTCAATGCGGCTGAAACCGCTCTATTTTGGCAAATGTTGCCAAGCAAGACACTTGCGTGTCGTGGCGACAAGACAAGCCGCGGCAAGGCAAACAAAGCTCGTGTGTCCTTGCTGTTTCCAGCTAATTTAGACGGATCGAAAAAGCTTCGACCTCTGGTTATCGGGAAAAGCACAGCACCACAATGTTTTCGAAATGTGCTGTCGCTTCCAGTTACCTACCAAGCAAACTCAAAAGCGTGGATGACCGGGGAGCTTTTCAGCAGATGGCTATCGTCGTGGAATGATGATTTGGTAGGCGAAAATCGCAAGGTGTGCCTGCTCGTGGACAATTGTTCATCGCACCACTGCAGTACGACCTTCAGCAACATCGAGTTGCATTTTTTGCCCCCGAACACGTCTGTAGTGCAACCACTGGATCAAGGCGTTATACGCCTAATGAAAGCCGGCTATCG